AGGTGTGTTGACAGGGCCACAAAGTTTGATAGGACACGAACTGGACCACGACCTGGGGATAACTAAATGGGGAAGGGCGCTGCGGAGTCAAGCCCTAAGTGTCTCTCTGACATGGGAAGATGAGTGGCATTTCAGGACAGATTAGTTGATTTTCTTGTTTCCTGCGCGTGTTTTATTGCATCATCATTATCACTGACTGGTATTTTTCACTGCCGTAGGTAACCTTCAGGATGTGGACATCCTCCTCCACAAATACATTCCAAAGGAAAGCAATGAATCATGGAAGGGGAGAAAGGCCGGTTTCCATTTAGTCTACTCTATGAGGCTATGGCCCAAATATGCCAAGATCTCCTCCTAAGTCAGGATGAGCCAAGATAAGTCATTCCAAGATGAGTTTGGAGGATGTTCATATTTTTACCATTTTGGGGGTTAATTTTTCTGTCACTTGCTGTAACAGCTTCATACCATTAATTTCGGTGTAGATGCTCATAAGCTATGGGCTCCAAACTTGAATTCCCCACAGTTTGAAATAGGTACCACAGGCTCATGCCTGTGTTTTATTCTAAGTCTGCTAAACACCACCCTGGCAAACCCGGGAGAAATCAAGCTTGTGCCAGCCCTCCTCCTTCCCAGAACTTAACCCTTCTCTATCCATCGATATTACCTGACCAGAAGAAGCATGGCTTGCGGAAAGGGATTTCACTTCAAAATGTGTCTAATTTCAGCGTAACAAACTTTTACAAAAGAGACTCCTAATGACCTCCCCTGAACAGCAAGACATCTGAACTACATGGCTGAGAAAGGATTTCCAAATTGCAACAGGGAAAGGTCAGCAAGCACTTCAGTGCTAGGCCCACAGACTTAGGACTATAGGACTTTGTAAGGAGAGATGACATCTGTCTTGACAGAAGTAAAAGCACTACTGGAGCCACAGAACTACCTTGTCCCACATACAGCTATTAAGAAACCTTCTGTTCTCCTAGTCTAACCTTCCACAGCATGCTGCAGCGATGTCCACAACGCATCACAAACCATATTTAATGAAAGGCTACTAATCAAACTGAAAACAAGTATGTTTCTGAGATGCCACTACAACCTGTCTTAGATAACACCAGCATAAGATAACAAACAATTAAAAAGAAAAAAAAGAAATTCTGTGAGCAAACTTCACGAGAACTTACTCTTCCAGCTGTACAGAAAGTTTAGCAGGTTCGGGATAGGACCCTGGCAGAGTTGAGATGCTACATTCAGCTTCCTGAACTGAGGCCACAATAGGTCACATTGCTTCCTTAAGAAACAGTGGGCAGTTTAGTAATTTCCAAATCTGCTCTTCAAGTTGGCCTAATTCTACTGTCTTCAGAGATGATGAACAACATATTTATTTCAACATATTTATTTCAACTTCTGACTCACAGTAGGCTGGAGCTTACACTAAGTTAAGGCACGGGTATAGACGGTATGGCCAGCTGCTCCCACTGGAATGCAGATGAATTCTCTACTTGTTCATATGGAAATTATCAGACCAGTATCTGGAGAGGGCACAAAATCCAGTAAGTCAGATCTCTGGATTCCCCATTAATATGAAGACTACTGCACAGGGTATTACCCTTCCATCTAAGCACTGCCAGGGATGGGTGCTGCAAATGTTCACATATGCTTCAGCAGGCCTTTTAAATGAGATCGCTAGTGGCCAACCTGGCACTTCCACGATGTGGGAAACTGACCTTGCCTTTTGCGCACTCAATACATCACAGGTATCCACAAGCCCTGCAGATACAAGCACATATGCAAGTGACAACCTTCATAACTTAATGACCGCTACCTATTCAACACTACGCACTATTTGGAAATTTCAGGTTAACTACTCACATAGTATCTCAACTCCAAATGGGGAGCATGCGTGCTACATGTGCACCTGTGTCTGAGAACCTGCATGTCTACACAATCCCATTTTGCACACGTGCGGTTATTTTGCAATGTTTTGATGGGTCTTTGCTCTTATATCACTCCTAAAGCAGAAAAGGGGAAAAAACAAGGCAAAAGCAATCAGCTTTCAGTCCTCTTGGCAATGATGTTCTGTTGACAACACTGAGTTTGATGGGACTTTATCAGAAGCTCAAACGCTTTGCAGGAGATATAAGAACATAAGCATGTACTTAAGGCATATTCATAGAATCAGAGAACGGTTTGGGTTGGAAGGAACCTTTAAAGATCATCTAGTCCAACTCCTGACACGTCTCAAGGGAACACTGAAGAGGGGAATTACAAAGAACTGCCCAAGAAAATGCTACTCTGTTGATACTAGGAAAATGATTCATTACTTACAAAGAAAATTCTCCCTGGGGCTACATTTCTGTTTTTATTAGGTGGGAAGACCAGATGAAAGAACAGAAAACATTGCAGTGACAATTGCTAACAGCCCGCTGCAGAAAACACACCGCCTTGCGACTGGCTGCAGTGTGGTTTTTATGGACAGGCGATCTCTTGGGGTGTGTCTACATGTAGATGGCTGGAACAGTTAAGGGGAATTAACTATGGGCATGAAATTGAAGCTCAGAAAACCCTTCATGTTCTCAATCAGAAATAAAGCAGTATTAAGTCTAGTGCAGAGGGCTGTGACCTGACTGACTATGCTCCACATCAGTGAGATGTGGACTAGCAGTGGCCCAAAAATCCAGTTTAATTGTTCTTGCAGCACCTAAGCTGGCTTCTCTTCATTCCTTCCCAAGCTGCAATTGCAGTTTTAAATTCTGAGTTGATGAGGCAGATACAAATTACCCTGTCATTCTTCACAGGCTAGGAGGCTGGGTTCTTTTTTTTATTTAAAAACCTTTTTTTTTATTCTTTTTCTTTTGGAGAGGAGGAAGAGAAGAGAAAAAACAACCTGGCTTAGTCATTTCTGAAATGACTGGGTAGTGTATTCATATACGCTGTGAGAAGTTCAATAGTAATCTAGAGATGGGCACAGAAAAATGCAGACTGGCAGCTCACATCCTTGAGAGCGCAAGTCTTCAGATCAAAAAGGTTTACTGTCCAGGTGACTTGGGCTAAAAGACCTGTAAGGCCTACTGTGTTTGAGAGGCAGCAGCACAGTATTGTCTATAGGATGTGGGCTGACAAAATTTCGACAATTTTAATACTTTAAATGCATTAAAATTCAAACGTTCATCTCAAAGTTAAGCCACACCTTGCAGGTGACAAACACTGAATTTCTGAGATTCTAGCATTCACAAAGCCTGTAAAACACTGCTGTTCTTTTGTCATATGGATTTGGTTTCAGCAGTCACTCAAAAATGCATCTCAAACTGCCAGTGCCCCTAACACTCCCATTTACTTCTCAGTGTTCTTCTAAAACCCTTTCAGATGCTTGTTCTGAAAAATGAAGCATGTTGAACTGATCCTTGCTACAATCTCGGTAACGTCCAGAGAGCTCCCTCACAATTGCCTGTGTCACAGCGTTCACTGAGGACTTCTGCTCAGTGGGGACTGTGATGCCAGATCTGCATGGTATCATATTCTCCAGCTTGCCCCACAGACTCCCCATTCCCTTAGCTCTAGGGACACGGAGCAGGTGCTGACCCCTTGTATCCGTCTCTCATATACTGAGCCTTCAACTCGGATTTTATCAAAGGAACCACAGTGATCTGTTGCAACAGGACTTCCTAAACCAGCAAAGAGGAGGCAGGATTTGGGCTGTCCTGCACATTTCATGGTGAAATGCCATTTGGTGATATAGAGAACTCAACACAGTGATACTGAATCTCACAACTACATGGGACTGTTTCCCCTTCCTGACTTCCAGATTTTAACACCAATGTCTCATATAACAGAAAATACAAAGGTTCTGATGTCTCCAGTGCCAGAAGTTTCTGCATTTAAAATGAAACCTTGATATTCTTTGATAGACACAGAACCTAAATGACCCCCTCCCGTATCAGGAGATGGGCTCGTTAGTGCAGTACGCACTGGCAGTTAAGCACCAAGGAAGAGAAAAAGCTGACCTGGCAGCCACGATGCATTCATTCAGTTACTTTGGTGCTCATGTCCTCCTCTGTATAGGACTTGCCCAGAAGCAGTTAAGGTATATACAGGCAGTTTTTTAAGCTGCAGCATATTGGAAGAAGACAGAAAGCAATAAGGAGTTCAATGCAGCTCAGAAACTGTCTTGCATGATTACTCTGTCTTCAAAAACCAAGCCAGGCACAAAGGAAAATAAAAATAACCAAGGCTGGAGCTCTGACGCTTCAAGAGAGGGGGAAAAAAAAAAGTCTGTGCCCTCTTTTCCAAGCACAAGTGAAAAACTACATTAACTAAAGAGTGCTTGGCCCCATGCACTGTGCCATACTGACAACAGCAACTGCAATTTAATCAAAAAGCTTCTATTGGCAGAGCATGGCACCTTGATGGTACCTTTTAATTCATAAACATTCCTCCCTAAGAGGGATCAATTTGCCTGTTAGCTTGCAGAGACCCATATTCCCTGCCGATGTAAAGTCCTACAACTCCACAGCAGTCTGATGAGCTGTACTAGTAATTACTAGCAGGGAATCTGTCCCGAAATCTCTGGGTGTGAACCAGGGCACACTTAAAAAAGCATTTTCTCACTCTGTCACTCCCACCCCTATCCACCCATCTCCTGGACTAAATGACAAGAAAACTGATTCTTCTCCATCATTCCCATTACTTAAGTCATCTTAAAATATTCAAATGACTGGTTAAGCTCCAGCCTTATTAATTCAAGCAGAAAGTGTGGAAGAGGGAAAACCGACAACAGACACAGCAATTCACTTCCTATAGCCTAGCAAATATATACAAGGAGTCCATTTTCCAGAAATTCAACTGGTATGTCCTGTAAGTGAGCAGAGTGCCCACCTTTGCAGATTGTATCACATGAAGAAGATGCCATTTCAAGAGTGCCAATTAAGAAACAGTTGTGTGAAAGACTTAATGTGACCACGTGGATATGTTACAAAGGGCTTCTCCTTCACTACAGAGCATCTATCTTCCTCTCCATATACATACACATATATATACACATACATACACGCACACACATAGATAGATGGATAGATATAAATACATGTGCGCACACACGCAAACACACATACATATATATATATTTTTTATATATATATATATATATATTCTTTTCCAGTTCTTGGAGTGGTTACAACTACTTTAGTCTACAAGGCATCCTAAGGGCACTTCCTGGCTCTAGCAATAAAGTCCATCATATTGTGGAGAGAAGTAAAGGGAATATCATTGAGGGAGAAGAACAGAACAGTTTCCTATCTTGTATATCATGTAACAGGTCGACACCTCTGAAAACTAGCATTCTTGTTTCTGAGCCCAGATATTTTCTCCCTATGTTCCAGGAGGGCAAATGTTCATCTTGTTCAATTGCTGTATACAGAGGTGCCACTATGCGATTTTCCCTTTTTGGTGGATTAGTAGTTGCTTCCCAATAGTTAGGACTGTATGATACAATATCCTATGCATCATTTTTTGTTGGTTTGTTTAGGGGGAGATTAAAAGAGTTTTGCTTTTTTCTTCATGTCGTTGCGTCTCCAGAGAGGTAACTTGTCAAACTCCTGTATCGTCATGCCAAATATTTCTTGAAAAACTTCAGGTGCTAAGTGGCGCTTTTAAAAAAAAAAAAAAAAAAGGAGAAAAAAAAAAAAAAGAAGAGAAAAGGCAATGGTCAGTCAAAGCCAAATAGACACACAACAGGAGACAGGAGTGCCTTAGGGATTTCATGTCACTGTGTAAAAGCCATTGCAGGAAATAATAATGCTTTGGCAATACAGATATCCAAGTCCTCATGACTTGGGTGCTCAATGAATTAATAAAATTTTGCAACTTGTTAAGTCTGAGAAGTTTACAAAGGAAATCAGGAGAACTATTTAAGTTTAATTTATTTAAGTTGCTGAATAAGCAAGAGACAGAAAAATGATTTGCCTGAAGTCACCCAACACGCAGTGATAGACCAGAGAACAAAACCAGCTCCTGCCCGCCCTTCTCTCAGGCTTTGGCTAGTCACCTCTGCGTACATATGGAAGTTCAAACAGACACGGGAGAGCTTTGCAGAAGGGCTGCAGGTTGACATGCTACATTTGAGGTTCTGAGAAGGAAGATGTCTGGCCAGACTAACTGTCCAGCACATTTCTCTATTGCCAATGAAACATTTTTGGTGCTGTCTTGTGCACAAGTTACTTCTTGTTCATCTGCTTTAGAGTGCACTGGATGGGGAAAGTGTCTCCCTGTGGCACTAACGTAACACAGTGTTGAATTCTGACCAGTGATCACATATCTACCGATCTAAAAATGTGGAAAAATGGTTACTTACCCAAATTTTTGTGGCCCCTTCTGTTCATCTCCACAGATGATTAACTAACTACAAATGACTTGAACATCCCCAGTCTTCCACTGGGCTGCTTAAGTCTTTCTAATCCACAAAGCTGTAAACAATTTTTATTTGTTGGCAGAGATTTAAATCCTCATATTTTTGGATATCAGCCAGCCTAACTAACTCACAGGACTCATGGATGAGTTAAAGAGAGTTAGACTTTTGATCCTCAAGGATTCCTGACACTGACTCTTAGCTAAGAAATGATCCAAGATTAGCTAACTCTTAGCTAAGAAATGGTCCATTCCAGTGTGGATCCTATGACTACAAAACACTTCACCAATTTTGGGCTTTTTACCAATTTACAAGTATATAATTAATTGCTTGAAAACATAAGGGGGTTGTGAGAAGCTCAGTCCAGGAGCAGGGCGACAGAGATGTGGGACTCCTGGCCCAGCACTGTGCGTGGAAATGTGGCTGCTTCCTCCTCGTCTGACTCCTCCTTCCCTGCTTCGTGCTGAGAAACCTTCCCAGTCTAACAAGGACCCACACTTCAGTGTTTTGAGCTTTCAAGTGTGCAACAACAAAAAACTTCAGCAGG